CGTATCGATCACGTCTTGAGTTACGACCATGGATGCTACAAAAAAGTTACGTCATCGATCAAATTTCTGCACCAATAGTTGGGATAACTTACCTGACAATGTAACTTACATCGTAAGTTACATGGCTCTTATATACTCTTATGTAAGTTACAAATATATAGATTTAATGCAAATTATAATAAACTTGACTAGCATTAGGACTAAATTTTTGATGATATAAAATTAGTTTGCTCCAAGATAAATAAACATAATATAAAACATTATAATTGTAAAAGCATAAATAATATTCTATAATATAGTCTGATATTAATGGAAATCAAACAGATCGATATTTGTTCACAGATTATAACTTGATGAATTTTGAAGTTAAGAAAGTTTAGATCTTTAGCTTTCTTTTGACAATTAAACTATTAAAATAACTTCCTTAATTTTTTACGGGGGAGGGGTATAAAAAGCAAAAATGAAGGTACAAATAGTATTGCCCTAAAAATTAATCTTATTTAGTATTACTTTAGAGTTAATAGAGATTAGAGTAGGATATATATAATATATAGTAAAATTTGCAAAAAATTTTTTTATTAAAATATTAAAAGTTGTTTTATAAGCAAAATTTTGAAATATTATCAATTTCTTGAAAAAAACAAAATTTGAATGTTACGATATACACTTTATACTGCAGATATATAATTTGGTTGATAGATCGTTATGGTACGATATATAATGGTGCGATGTCTAATTAAGTCCAATAAAATAATGATCGTATATAAATTTGAACTCTTAAGCACTATATATTTGAATTTCCAGTGATCCACTTCTGTCAGTATGTGAATTCGAAAAAATAACATCTCACATATCATTAAAATCAGCTTTGGACGAATCGTGATACTTTCGTGTTTGTCTATCCTCTGTTTGGTTTAATATCATACATACCACAAAACTTACTGAAACTTTCTTGAAGTTCCTCAATGTTTTTCTTATTTATGATGCATAAAATTTTTAATTAATAGATATTCATGGAACAAGGAAAGAATATGTGACGTTACTACCTCATTATTTGTGCGTACAAAGATACGCAGTACTACATCTTCAAATTCTTCTGGAACAAGATAACTTAATTCTTCACGTGGGATCGGGGATGCTATAAACGAGCGTAAAATTTATATAAAATCAATTTTAATAGTTTAAATAAAATCAATTTTAATAGTTTAAATAAAATCAATTTTAATAGTTTATATAAAATCAATTTTAATTAAAATGTTCAGAGTAAAAGATACAAACGTTCATTGCGTTGCTTCTTGTCATAGAATGTGACATTTTCCACGGGATTGTTATTACCTTTTCCATAATTTAATCCTAGCTGCTCGGTAATTAAGTCATCAATTATCACATTATTTAAGGACTGATCTTCACCAATATATTTGTCTAATTTTTCCTGTAAAAATAAAAATAAAAATAAATATGAAATTAAAATTAAAAACAAATATTGTGGAAAGAATTGCGAAATATCATAGAATGGCATATTTGTCTGTATTACTGTTATAATACCTTCGTAACCGTCTTTTTAAGTGATTTTGGGACGGAACATTCAGACACAAATCTGTATAAATCTCTTCGTTTAATTCGCTTGACAATATTTCTTGAAGCTTTTAATTGCTAAAAGAATCAATGATTGAAATATTCATGACTATGCACACATGTCATTTTTTTACAATATACAGTATTATACAATTTGGCTACTGAATACCTCGCAATCAGAATGTTCGATTGTACTCAAAATAGAATCATTCAATTGGATATATTTTTGGGATCACCAATTTTATCCTTAATTTTAAGGTATGGCTCAGCTCCCACAAGCGCATCTGCTATCATATAATCAATTGCTCTGCCTATATTAAGGTTAGTTAATAATTTATCAACCATGATTACGAAAGAATACTTGAAGTAAACTTTATTAATGAAAACATACTAACGCGATGGCTATATACTCTCTTGTGCATTGAATAACGCGTGTGGAACATTTCATAGATGTTGAAGCATTCCTTGTGGTTATAACCGATACTGTCACCTATGATGCAAGAGAACTGCATTAATCGTGAAGAGTCAAACAAAGATTTCATGCCCAAATTATAGCAATCTCGATCAAGATAGTCAAATTTGTCAACATCCACAGAATTATTTTTGTTGTTGACTATATCAAATAAATATTTGGGCCTATCACTGATTTTAAGTAAATTTATATGAATGTAAATATGATAATACGTGATATGTTACTATTTATTATATAATCGGGTAGTTTTAAAAACAGTTAACCCATTAGACCTAAACAGTCCAATTCTAGTAAGCAAATGACGAATGAATGTTTCATCACGTGATTGTTGATCACTGGGTTAACCGTTCTCGAAGTGTCACGAAAAACAACATACATTCCAGCTGATTCTCCCAGAATAAGTGCCTCGATCATTTTTTCATCATCTTGGTCTAGTTCGAAAGAATCCGCTTCCGAATCTTTTAGTTCTTCAACAATATCTTTTAGCATCATTACGGATCCCTCTTCATGTGTCCATTTTCTCTTGGGACTATTATATAAAATTTCATTATTTTTGTGTATCCGAATGCGAAGCAATCATCAAAATATGATTATTTCTCTGGTACATTAATCTTGGTACAACTAAGTTATCGAACACGTGACTAAATGGCCCATGTCCTATTAAATTCACATAATATATTTAAATATTATAAGTCACTATTCAGTTCTATGTCAAATAATAGCTTACCCAGATCGTGGCATAAAGCTGCCAAAGTCACACATTTTAAATTTTTTTCCGCATCTTCTGCATTTTCCGCTTTTCCATCGCCTTTTTGCTGTAATATTTTTGTAAATTTCTGAGCAAGGTGCGCAGTTCCTAAAATATCCAATGTTACTGCATCATCCCATTAAATGGCGTAGGATAAAGTGAATAAAATATCCATCATTTACGTACCTAAACTATGTTCGAAGCGATTATGACTTGCACCAGGATAAACAAAATAGGTAGAACCTAATTGTTTTATTTCTTTCAACCTTTGAAATTGCGGTGTATCAATAAATTTAATTGCCCAATTATCAAATTCCATATTACCCTATTAAAACATAAGACAATTAAAAAATATAAAAAGAATTCTTTCATTTATTCGCATTTAATTGAAAATTCATAAATTATTCAATATAACAAACGAAATTTTACATGGATAGGATCGTTTATAATTTTCTTTTGAGAATCATCAGAACTCATTTTTAATGAAGTTATTTTTTTTTAAAGATTCATTAACGTTAACATTTTAAAGGAGTTTGTTATTTATTACCACCGGTGATCATCACCGCAAGTGCTGTATCTCGGGGTACTAAGTAAAATGTTCAGAACCACATAAACTTTATGCTAACTAATTTTAGACCTTCATATCTAACCTCTATTTTACCTTGTAACAGCATTCTAACCTTAAATTTTAGCAAAAATCTATGCGGTGATGATCACCACCGGTAGTTTAAGTTTTGAAATCACAAATACAAATAAGTAAATTTAAATGAAATCCACCAATCAGTATATGAGTGCTGTCAAAAGTAAACCAGATTTCTGGCGTTCAAGTTTATTATTCACGTATCACTGATTGGAAACACGAGTGACGCCAAGGAACTTCAGACTTTGAATTTACAATTTGTAACATTAGTGTAAATGTAAAATTTTTAATTGTAGGTCAAATGATCGACGAACTTAAATTTTATAAGTAATATTTGTTTTCTAGACTTAGACTTCTAATAAAAGTTGTAGATCTAATCAATAGTGGTAAAAATGTTAAATTTGGTTTGGTAGTTCTTGTGAAATCTTTAAAAAACATTTTATTAAAATATAAAATTTCTTTAAAGAAAGTAGATTTTTTTTAAAGAGATTTTATATAGTTAGTGAAACATTTTTTAAAGATTTCTCAAGAAATACCAACCAATTTTAATGTTTTTACCACTATTAGATGCATTTTGATAAGCGCTACAAGTTTCATTAAATACTTAAAAACAATTTACTTAGTAAAAAAGATTTATTTGGATAAATGCAACATTTTTATCTTAAGGGATTTATATATAGAATGTATTACATTATACTATAAACATTCTTCAGTTTACTGAAGGATCATCAATTAATTTTAATTTTTTATTTTACAAAAATTTATACTTTCTTTTACATCTCAAAAGTCTTTAGATATCTTATATCTCTTAAAGACCAAAGTTTTCATTTTGCAAAGATTATTAGTATTGCAATTTAGCCTCTAAATATTGCTATACTAGTGAGATAACTTATACTTTATTAAGTTTATCAATAATATATCAGGTTTCCGGTGCTGCAGTATAAAACTTATGTTTTTAGATTTGCAGTTTGTTAACTTCTCATGACCTACAAGCTGAATTGTCTTTTTATAGAGTTTCTCAATATTAGTATTTATTTATTAATAGATTGTATTTTATCTAATTATCTTTAGCCCATGGTTATACTAGCAAACTGCAACTTGTCTAAATCTTATTCTTTATTTTTAATGAAAAATTTTCTAAAAATCTTAGCCAATTATGATTCTAATAGAGCTATTCTAATGAGGACAAACTTGTAACTTAATGATTATGACTTGAGAGTGCCTCCACTGCACTATCAACCTACAGGTTAAATTTATGTTTTTTATTAGCTAATCAATATATGATATTTTTTACATAACAAAAATTTATTATAAAATATAAAAAATTGTTTAATAACTGAAGTTTCAATCTATTTTATTATAAAATTTTAAAATTTTTGGGGGCCTTTTGTTAGAGTTTTTTTAGAGTTAGGTTATAGTTCAGAGTTAGTGTTGTTAGTAAAAAAGTATATATGAATTTTAGTAGGTATTATAAATTTAAATGGGAACACTAAAATTCAGCATCAGCCAACTTCAGCATCAGACATTACTTTAATTTTTCAATAATATTCATTTTTATTTATTTAAAAAATTTCAATCATTCACATATGTATACAGTATTTAATTTTACATCTAATTCTACATTTAATTTGAAATCTTACACTTTTACTATATTATCTTATATTATACATTATTCTAGTATGTATGTCATGTGTCAAATTTGAAGAAGTATAGGTTTAGATTTGAGTTATATCAGATCAATATTTGAATCTAGAGTGTGTCAGACTAGTTTATAGTTTATACATCAGATTGAAATGCACATAATAAATGTAGTAATAATAATAATAACAAAAAATGCGCATAATAAATATAATCATAATGATAACAATAAAATAAATAAATTTTTTTTTTGGTTAAACTAGTTGATAGTTCTTTCTTTTGCAATAACACTGTGTATTTTGCATTAATATAGAATATTCATTTATATCACAGCAAACTTTTAATGATTTGGTTAAAGAATATATTAAAAGTTTGGCACTGAATAAAAGGGAATGACATTAATCGATCAAGAAAAATTACAAAGAATTAAGAAAGTCCTTCTTGATCCTATGAATACCACCTAATATACATCTGCTTTTTGTTATTGGGTTAAAAAAAAAATTTAAATTGCAACAAATTGGTGATTCCTATATTGTTCTTCACATTTGAATACAAAATAAAAAAATAATGAAAAGGTTAAAATTGAGCTTCTTGTGCTAGCTGTAGAAAATATGTATAAAGAATTTTGCAAGATCATGCAACAATTACCTAGCATGGTGATTAAAAAAAACATGGAATCAAGTTAGTAGTAAATAGGATATTGCTGATAGGATCTTGTAGAAAAATTTGTGAAACAATATACTGTTTGTGCAGCAAGGCTTATACAAATTCAACCACTAGCTGAGATTTTAATTATTAAGTAAAAATTTATGTCGCACTTACAAGTAAATTTTTTAACATTAATGTTTTATAATTATTTATTATAATAATTTATTTATTTTTTTATTTATATTTTTATTTTATTTTTTATTTTATTTTATTTATTTTTATTTTATTTTTTATTTTTAATTTTTTTTTAACAGATTGATTTAGTTGATATGACCTTTAAGTATGATAATGAATTTAAGTATATTGTCTATTTGCATGATTATTTTACTAGATACTCCTGGGCTTGTGCCCTTATTTCCAAGTGAGCAATAGAAGTGGCAGCTTTTTTGTTCAAAAATTTACTACATTCGGACCACTTTTAATCCTTCAATTTGATAATGAAAAGAAGTTCATTGCTACAGTAATTATTGAATTGGTTCATTTATGGCCTACAATTCAAATTATTAATGGAAGACCAAGACATCCTGCTAGTCAAGGTTTAGTTGAGCAGGCAAATAGAATTCTTGAAACAAAGTTGGAAAAGTGGATAGAAGACAATAAGTGTCAAAATTGATCATTTGGATTGAGATTTGTAATTTATGTGATGAATAACTCAATTTGTAGAGCACATAATAAGAAACCTTATGAGCACATATTTGGTGGTACTCCACATGGTTATTCTGCTGCACTTGATCAGTTGTTTAAAACTAGTGTTTTTTCCAAAGATGAATTCCAAATGAATTTGGATTAGAAAATATTTAGGAATCAGTTAACGATTTGGATAATTTAATTGGAATTTTATTGGTGAAGCTGTTATTGCTATTAGTGCTTGCTCATCAAATGCATTTTTAATTTCTTTGGGCAGATT